GGGGGTTTCATTCACTTTTGTGAATCCGTGGGTTTACATGTGTGCCAATAAAATGTTTTTACTTCAGCCATAAAATGCTATTTCTTTAAATAATTTTTCAATACCACTTTCTTTTTCTTTACTTTCTGGTACTCTGATGACATGACTGTTAGAATGAAGTTGTGAATATTATTATTATTTTAAATCTTTTTTCTATCATCAACCTTTTTGATAGTAAGTAACTAAGAACACTCAGGAACCTCAGATTAGACAATTTCTCTGTAACTTCAAGTTTATTCACTCTTTGCTATGTCATCTCCATTATGTTACTGAGTCCATTCAATGATGATTATTATTCTGTTATTGTATTTTTCAGTCCTAAAGTTTCCATTTGGTTCTTTATATGTATTTCCTTGCTAATGCTTTCTACTTTAATTTTTCTTCCAAGAATGTTTATAATTTATTGTTCAAGCATTTTTATAATAGCTGCTTTAAATAGATATTAGTAACATTTGTGTCATTTGTCACTATCATTGATATTCTTTTCCTATTGTCTAGCTTTTGCATGCATTTAAGGTACCCTGATAGTACCTTAATGACATGGCTTAGGTCAGGTACACTTAGTCCTCAAAGTTACATCTTTTCTTTTTAGCACTTTAAATCTTTTGCAGCAGATTTGACCAGTGCAGAATGTTGTTTGATTTCTTGACTGTTATTTACATGGGTATTGATTTGTGGATCCAAGTAAAATGAAATCCTTGATAACTGCAATCTTTTCTCCTTTCATTGTGATGTTGTTTATTGGTTCAGTTATGAGGATTTTTGTTTTCTTTATATTGAGATGTAAGTTATATTGTAGGTCTTTGATCTTCATCAGTAAGTGCGTCATGTCCTCTTTTCCAGCAGGCAAGGTCAGCTGCATATCACAGGTTGTTTATGACTCTTTCTCCAATCCTGATGCCGTGTTCTTCTTTGATTATTTGCTCAGCATACAGATTGAACAAATATGGTGAAAGGATACAACCCTGGTACACATCTTTCCAGATTTTAAGTCACACAGTATCCTCTTGTTCTGTACTAACAACTATCTCTTGATCTGTAAATTGGTTCCCATGAACATGGTTAACTGTTTTAGAATTTCAGTTCTTCGCAAATAGTGTGAGATTTAACCTGGTCCCCGAAAACGTTCAAAATTTAGTTGGATCTGCTTAAGGAGAATCAATCCCCTGCAAAACTTGGAAAGTGCTTTGAAACATTAGAGCGGGATCAGAAAATCAGGGACAGTGGTTTAGATAGGAATTAGGAACTCATTAAAAGCTTTTGCGTCGACTTGTTATTGAGAACATAAATAGCAAAACACATCAATTCAACAGTCTCTACAGGTACAATTCCGTGTCATTGGCAACATTCTTCAACTTGTGTAACCATTATCATCTTGCTTTTCCAAATTGTTCCTCTTCTGTTAACATAACTCACTGCCCCCTAAGTTTCCTGTCTAATCTTTAAAATGCTATTATCAGTAAATCCATCCATACATAGTGAGCTGGTCTTTGACAAAGAGTGAAAACCTGTTAAATAGGAAAGAGATAATCTCTTCAACAAATGGTGCAGGGAAAACTGGAAATCCATTTGTAGAAGAATGAAACAGAACCCATATCTCACACTGTTTACAAAAATATACTCAACATGGATTAAAGACCTACCTAGAACTATAAAGATCATCACTGAAAAAATAGGGACAAACAGGGCTTCTATTACATGGCATAAATACACTATCAAATGTTACTAAAAACACCACAAATAGCAGAAGACAAAACTAGATGACTAGGACCTCCTAAAATTTAGACACTTACGTGCCGCAGAAGAGTTCACCAAAAGAATAAAAAGGAAGCCAACAACTGGGAAAAAAGTTTTTGCAACTTTATATCAGACTAGGTCTAATCTCATCTCTAGAATTTGTAGAAAACTATAATATCTCTATAAGAAAAAGATAACCAACACAATTTAAAAATGGGCACAGGATGTGAACAGACACTTCACCAAAGAAGACATTCAGACAGCCAACAGACATATGAAGAATGTTCAGGATCTTTAGCCTGTGTTGTTAAGTGCTGGTCCGACTCTTAGTGACCCTGTATAGGGTTTCTGAGGAGCAGCTGATGGGTTTGAACTGCTAACTTTGTGGTTTACAGTCTAGTGCAGATCTACAGTGCCACACCAGAAGTCCATTAGAAATGCAAATCAGAGTAACAACAAGATATCATCTCATACCAACATTAATAGCAAAGTTCAAAAAAACAGAAAAGAACGAATGTTGGTGAGGGTGTGGAGAGACTGGGACCCACCTAAGAAATAAAAACCAGGACATGAGTAGATATATGTACACCGATGTTCATCATAATACTATTCACAGTCACAAAAAGAAGACAACTTAAATGCCAATGAAAGAGTGGATAAGCAAACTATGGTACTTATACACAATGGAATACTATGTACAATTGAAGAATAATAATCAGTCTGCTAAATACCTCGTAACATAGATGAACCTGGAGGACATTATTGCTTGAGTGAAATAAGTCACAAAAGGAAAAATATTGTATGAGACCACTATGGTAAAATCTTAAGAAAAGATTTTCATACTAAAAGAAATATTCTCTGATGGTTATCAGGGGTGGGAGAGTTATTGTTGCTAAGTGTCATTGAGTTGGTTCTGACCCATAGCAACTCTGTATAGGGTTTCTAAGGAACAGCTGATGAGCTTGATTGAACCTTTGACCCTGCGGTTCAAACTGACTGCAGTCCAGCGCACTAACCTGTAACACCACACAGTAGATGCATGTTAACTCGGGTGATGGGGAGGGCAATATGCAAGAAGGGAAAGGCCGTATACAAGAAGAGGGAGGTTGGCAGAAAAATGATGAAGATAGTTAAAGACACAGGAAAGTATGTAAGAGCTGAAAGGGATAGAGCTAAATGGTGTTATATAATTTGGACTAACAGTGTTCTGGTAGCGTGGTGGTTTTAAATTGGGCTGCAAACATCAAGGTCAGCAGTTTGAAACTATTAGCTGTTCAACGGGAGAAAGATGAGGCTTCCTGCTCTCGTAAAGATTTACAGCCTTGGAAACCCTGTACAGGGTTGCTATGAGTTGGGACCGATTCCACGACACATAACCACCACCAACAGTGTTCTGTTTGTAGATACATGGACAGAGACACACGCTGAATGGGTATAGGAGGAAGTGTGGAATATATATATCCCACAAATACGTGAGTGTGAAAGGATATTTGTACAATGGGTTACTACAGGGAGAAAGTGGGACAGCTGTTGTTGCATGGAGGGGATTACAATCATTGAGATGAAGTTATGATTTGTTGAGTGTAAAACTGATGAGCTTGTCTGGAAACGTTCACTCAATTCACAATAAAAAGTTTTAAAAAATGCTGCTGTTACTTTGATTACAAATAGATCTTTTTTTTTTTTTTTTAAAGTTTTTATTGTGATCTGGGTCATAGTTTACATGGGAGAACATCAGCTTTACACCATCGTTTCATTACAATGATTACAGTCTCCGTGCATCATCATTCAACAGTATTTGCTTCCATTCCTTTTTTTTTTTTTTTTCTTTTTGGGGGAGAGGGGTGTTTACAAAAACAGTCAGGAATATATATAATTTAAACAACCAAATGGCACATTCTGCAAGCCTGCCTTCTGGCCGCCAGCACTCAGTCCCTCTCTTTCCATGAGTCCAGAGTCCTCAGCTACTCCCTCTCTCCATGTCCTCATCTGTCTCCATCTCTGGTGCCACTGCTTCTTTGGGTAAGGTCCTGCATTCTGCTTGTGCTCTTCTGTCTTGATGATCCTAGGGTCCTCTGTCTGGACTGTAAGATTAACTACTCTCCCATTTTTGTTACAAAACTTCTACCTTTACAGTTGTGACTGTCACAATTAGTCATGATAACAATTATAAGACTCTTTTTCACCAGACCCGTCTAGACAATAGGAAAACTATTCAGTGGGGTCTCTACCATCCTCCGCATATTATTAAGCTAAACTCCCTTTTGAAAATTTGTAAGCCAGTCACTTCGTGCCTTTATTGCCCCCTCATTTTAGGTAGCCACATATAGTTAGCTCTTAAAAGTGCTCAGTGTTCAAGACAGACACCTTTAATAGTTAAGCTAAAGATTTGACATGAGAGTGATATTCAAGAATGGCTGTTGGGAATAGACAAGATATAGTGATTCAAGAAGAACCTGCAGTTAGTTAAGTTTCTATAATTAATTGCTTTAATCTAGCCTATTCACATTTCACAATATATAAATCCTAGATTGAATAAAGACAGCAAAATGTAAAATTCTATGTTAAATGTTTTCTTTTATTGAAAATTACTCTTCTATTTTTAAATTTTGTTTTCTACCAATCATTTGGTTACAATTCACATGCTATACAGTTCACCTATTTAAAGTGTACAATTTAATAATTTTTAGTATATTCATAGAGTTGTGCAACCATCATGGCAGTCTTAATTATAGAACGTTTTTGTCCCCTTTGGAAGAAATTCTGTATACTTTATAACAGACTTCTCCATCCTTCCCTGCCTTTCCCCTCAGCTCAAAACCACTACTCATCTTTTTGTCTTGATGAATTTGCTCATTTTTTACATTTGGTACATGGAATCATACAATATCTACCACAGTTATAGTTACATTATCTGTAATTTATGTTTATATTAAATTTATGGGTTATAATTTTGATCCCAGTTCTAACCCTGATAATACATGTGTGCATGTATGTAGTAGATCTTGCCCTAGAGAAGTTGAATTGTTGAAGAATAGGTAGGGGTTACCTCCTTTCTTTTCAGTTACTGATTATGATTCTATTCTTTGTGTCCTATTTAGTTGAAATAGAAGAATGGTTATGTATTCAAAAATTGTATGTGTGTATATATATATTTAATGTAAAGTTTACCATCTAGGATAATTTAAAATTATTATAACCATAAGAAATTCTTTTTCTAATAGTATATTCAACAAAACATAAGGGCAGATTGCTCCAATATCGACAAAATTCTTGAACCACCTGAAGGCCAAGATGAAGGTGTATGGAAGTATGAACATTTAAGGTAGGTGCATATGATATGTCAAAACAGTAGTAGTAGGTCTAGTAAAAATAACCTTTAGTATTACTGAGGATACTCTACTCCATAGAGTGCGGTGGCTCTCTAGGATAAGCTTTGGACTGTGAACTACAGGTTAGCAGTTCGAGCCTAACAGCAGTTTCCGTTGGAGAAAGATGAGGTGTTCTGTTCCCACCAAGACTTACAGCTTTGGAAACCCTATACAGTCCATGGCAGTTAACCACTACATTTACTTATGATTATGAATCAAATATTATGTAATTACAGACCCCAAAGTCAAATTTTATAGCTCTTGGGATTTCAATGTCGGAAGGTTCTCAACTTAGTTATCTACTGGTTGTTTCCAAATCAAGTTATAATGCATTGTCACTTGTTTCAGAGCTGGTTGGTTACTTGGACACTGATTAAGGATTTGGTCTCTGTACCTTTCTGTGTTTATAGATTTTGGCCTTACTTGTCTTTTTTCACATGGTTTTTCTTAATCTTTGCTGTTGAGTGTGAGTGCGTTATTTCCAATTTTCCACTCATGAACAACTATTTTTCTATAGAGGATCACCTCTAGGAAATCTTGGGTGGCACAATTGGTTAAACTCTCTACTGCTAATCAAAAGGTTGACAAACTGAGGCACCTTTGAAGATAGGCCTGCTGATCTGTTTCTGAAAGGTCACAGCCTTGAAAACTCTCTGGAGCAGTTCTGCTCTGCACACATGTGGTTGCCGTTAGTTAGAATCAACCAGGTGGCAACTAGTAGCAGAAGATCACCTCTAGGTCCTAGCTGAGACTTGGGATATGATTATTTAGCTATGAACTGTTGTGAACTTTTAACTCTTCACTTTGGTAAACAAAGACTGATTGTAATTCTGAAGGAGTTCTGAAGTTTTTCCTTTGAGAAAGTTGATGATAAGTGATGCATTCATAGAAGAATGATTTAATTAATGACTATTCACTTCCTAAGGATCTTGTTGAATATTTCCAAATTACTCCTCTGAAAAACCATGGGTTAGAGTTATCAATTCATGGAATCTGGGTTTTAGATATTATTAGGTTTGATGGTTTTTGTGTTTTGAATCTGTAACTCTTTAGAACAAATGTTCATGTCAGTTTAAGGGGTTTTGTCAATGGCGATGAGAAAGGAAGGAGAATAATACTGATGGACTTCTCTTTTTATAGTCATAGTCTAAAAATGACTGAAAAATAGACACAATTTTTAATTTATGTGTTTGCATTTTTAGGCAGTTCTGTCTTGAGCTAAATGGCCTTGCTGTCAAACTTCAGGTAATATTTTGTTTAAATTAAAGTTATAATTGAAAGTTCTGTTATTTTTGTTTTTGTGATTTAATGTCCTATAGAGCTTAACTAAAATATCTAATTTTCTTTTACAATTTCACATGGATATTTAGTAATCCAATGACAAACTTTTTCATTATTATTTACATATTAAGAAGCATAATTCTTTTTAACAGAGTGAGTGCCATCCAGATACATGCACTCAGATGACAGCAACTGAACAATGGATTTTTCTTTGTGCAGCTCATAAAACTCCAAAAGAGGTGAGGATTTATGAAACAATAGAATAAATAAAATGAATAATGAAATTACCATACCCTATGTATTTTCTTTTTTCCTAGGAAGAACTATTGGTGATTACTAATTGATCCTTAATCTGTTAAGTAGAGATGTTTACTTTTCAGCTTTTCAGTTTCACATCCAATGTCTTCCTCCATAGTTCATGAGTATTTCTTAACCTTTTTATTGAAATCCACCATAATTATTTTCCTCTCCATGTTGGTTCTACATTGAAGAACTTACACATGTTGTTTGTTGCTTCATTTACTTTTTTGTTACTGTGAAAGCATTGTTGTTGTTGTTGTGTGCCATGTTGTGTGTGATTCCGACACATAGCAACCCTGAACAGGGTATCCGAGGCTGTAAATCTTTACGGGAGCAGAAAGCCTCATATTTCTCCCGTGGAACAGCTGGTAATTTCGAACTGCAGACCTTGTGGTTCACAGCCCGATCCATACCACTACGTGTGGAAGCAATTGTTTATAGAATAGTTTTTCATCTTTTAAATGATTCCTTTATATTATATATTACCCCCATATATATTCACTTTTCCTTAGTTGTTTCAAAAATGTTCTTTACATTGTAAAATTTATTTAATCTGCGTACTCTTTCAATCTGGAGTAGTTCCCTTTAACTTGACATTGTTTCATTGAAAATACTTGACTTGTTTTGTAGAATTGTAGGTCTTCAAACAGCCATTAATTATATTGACATAACTAAGGCTTAAAGACAAGTGACACTCTAGTTACAAAGTTGATATCTGGTGTTCTTTTGTTTGAAAAAGAGTAAATTATTCATAATAAAGATTTTTTTGGCCCTTTCTAAGTGAATAGTATTAATTTGGTAGATTGTTTTATTCAGGATGTTAGACTTCTTTCATAATAATAAATTGAAGCATTATTGAGTTTGTATTATATCAAGTTATATCTAGGAAAACCCACATACCAGTTTCATTGATAATTTTCTGAACTTGGCTAAATAATACAATGAGTTATGTAACAGTTGCAGTTAGGAAACTGAATGGAGAAGACTGGTTTTCTGTGACAAATTTCAATATGGTACTTCATTTTTACTTTAGAGTGAAGATGTTATTCAGTTTCTGTTGTAATATGAGACTTATTTATACTGCCATTCTCAATCCACCTTTAAAAAGTTTCATTATTATTAAGTCATAATGAGGATAGTATACACAGCCAAATACCCAGTAGGATTTGTTTGAATGGGACATCCTAGTTAATTGGCCTAATAACATATTTAGTGCTTCTGTTTTACCTCCTAGTTCAGCATGTAGTGCCTGGGGTCTTAAAAGCTTGCAAGCAGCCATCAATGGTGCAGCAATTAGTCTGTATTCTGTTGGAGCAACAAAAGGAGATTTTAGGAATGGGAGGTGAGGCTAATTGCCTCCATATACATCTGCCTTCTTTGCCTGAGGCCAGAGGCACTAGATAATGCTCAGTTACCAGTACTGAGCATTTTGATCAAAGATTCTGTAGAAGAATCCTGATCAAAAAGGGCAAAATGCCGAATGTTGTTAAATACCATGGAGTGGGTTTCGACTCATAGTGGCCCTCCCTGCATAGGGTTTCTGAGGCTGCAAATCTTTATGGGAGCAGAAAGCCTCATCTTTCACCCGCAGAACAGCTGATAGTTTCAAGCTGCTGACCTTGAGGTTAGCAGCCCGATTAGTAACCACTATGCTACCAGAGAAAAAGAGGAAGACCCCCAACAAGATGGATCAGCCAGGTGGCATCATTGATGGCGTCAAGTGTGGCATTGGTAATGAGGTTGGCCCAGGATCGGACATTGTTTCGTTCTGCTGTGCATGGTGTCACTATGAGTCGGTTCCGATTCGATGGCACCTGACAACAACAACAACAACGCTACCAGAGCCACTTAAGATGTGGAATAGAATTTCAAATTCTCATGGGCTCTAGACTTTCTGGATCCATGAAAGGTGAATAAACCCCTGAAACTATTGCCCTGAGGTAATATTGAAACCTTAAACCAAAAATATCTCCTGTAGTCATCTTTTTTTTTTTTTTTTTTTAATTTTAAAGTTTTTATTGTGAATTGAGTGAAAGTTTACAGGGCAGATCATTAGTTTTACATTCAACAAGTTATCTTCTTTGTTTCATTACAATGATTATAATCCTCTCCATGTACCATCAGAAATTACAGTATTTCCAGTAATTCTCTCTATTCCTTTTAGTTTTTTTTTAAATACTCAGGCATATATAATAATTTACACCACCAAAGGGCACATTCTGCTAGTCTGCCTCCTGGCTGCCAGCTCTCTGTCCCTCTCTTTTCATGAATCTAGAGTCCTCAGCGCTCCCTCTCTCCATGTCCCCATCTCTTCCTCCACCTGTGGAGTTGCTGCTTCTCTGGATAAGGTCCTGCATTCCACTTGTGCTCTTCTCCCTTGATGGCCCTAAGGTACTCTGTTTCTGGACTATAAGATTAACTATTCCTCCATTTTGTTACAAAACTTCTACGTTTACAATTGTAACAGTTGCAATTAGTCATGATAACAATTACTCACTATGAAATCATCAGAGTCTTACACTCATCTCTTTTTACCAGACCCATGTAGACAAAATGAAAACTGTTCAGGTGGAATTCTATCTCCCCCTACACACTCTGGTTTTTTTTTTTTAAGTTTTTATTATGAATTATGTGATAGTTTACATGGGAGAACATTAGCTTTACATTCATCCTATTGTATAATCGTTTCTTTGCCATGGTTACAGTCCCCTCCATGCATCATCAACCAACCAAAGGGTGTACCCTGCAAGCCTGCCCTTTGGTCGTCAGCACACAGCCCCTCTCCCTCTTTGGGCCTAGTTAGCTCCATCTCTCCACGTCATCATCTCTTCCTCCATCTCTGGCATCAACTGCTTCTCTGGGTAGGGTCCTTCTCTCCGCTCTTCTCCCTTGATGGTCCCAGGGACTTATGCTCCTATACTGCAAAGTCATTCACTTACCTCCTTTTGCTATAAAACGTCCACCTTTACATTTCCAACCCTCACACTCAGTCCTGATAACAATTATTCACTATTGTGTCACAAGAGACCTATCCACATCTCCTTTCATCAGCCCAGCCCAGACAGATTGGATACTACTCAGTGGAGATTCTATCTTCCTCCATGCCCTCTGGATCTAGGCTTCCTCTTGAAAGCTTGTAAGCCAGTCACTTCTCTCCTTTGTAGCTACCCCCATTTTGGGTAGCCAGTATCCAAGTTGCCCCCATCCCTGTCTACTCTGTGTATGAAGGGGGTGGGAATGATCCTGCTGTAAAGATTGTTCCCTCTTTTGAGCTACTGCATTCATAGGTATAGGTCAAGTTCATCAAATTGTATCAGATTTTTTTTCCTCTTTCTTCTTCTAGTTGAGCTCTGATCATCCAGTCATTGAAGCCAGGTCAGGTGGGTATTATCTGCAAGAGTGGGTGTGTTTATGCATATGTCCTCTCTTCTTATCAGCTGGACGTTTCATTCTCCACTCTAGTCCTCTGTGGCTGTCACTGACTCTGGGCCCAAGAGTCCCCAGGTCTTGCCACACTGCGGGTCAGCCAGTTCCACCTGGGTTTACAGGAGTCTATTGAATGCTGTAGGGCTTAGCTTACAGCTTCATTACTGTTTTTCCCTCACTTTCCCTTATCGGTGACGAATGTGTTCACCAATCAGAGCATGTATTCCCATTGAATCTTAGTTTTGAAAGGGGATTTGCCCTGAGGGGACCCGACCATTTGTCTTGATGTCTTCTGGGCGAGCAACTTCCTTGTTCTTGTAGTGGTCAGTTGGACTGCCTATATTGTTTTGTATTTTTCCTGTTGGTCTTTCTTTCAAGAAGTATCTTCTGTTCTTCTAGCTGCTCCAGGCTGGTCTGCTTCTCCTTTCAAGTGGAAATTTCCCACTTCAGAAGATTCTGGATACGGTTCAGGATTCCACCTATGGTCTTATGTAATGCAGAGGCTCCACAGGAAGCCTCCTTCACTAGGCATGTTGTAGCCCAATTTTAGGTGTTCTAATCAGTTATAGGCAGAAGACAGACTTACAAATTTTCTATTGTGATATTTCTGGCTATTCCTTTCTCTCCCAAGCCTGGTCTTGTTTAAAATATAATTTTCAGTTTTTTTCAACATTTTCTACCACTCTACCTGAGACCTTATAATGTGATCCTTTTCAGGGCAGTTGGTAGTGGTAGCTGGCCAGCATCTATTTCTTTTGATCTCAGAGTCATGGAGACTGATGCTTGCATGTTCAATTAGTCCATTGAACTAAATGATTCCAAACATGGAGATTCCACTAGCTGCACTTTAGATGGCCGTTCATGAGCTTTTAAGATCCCAGATGGTACTCACTGAAGTAGAATGTAGAATATTATTTTTGTGGACTGTGTTATGCCAATTGACCATGGTGTCCTCTGAAACTATAGTTCTGACCCCTATGCCCAGAAACTCATTACCTTAAGATGTTTGATAATCTATAAGAAGTTTTCATCATTTTGCCCACTGCTTACTCCACCTTATTCATACTTCTGCTTGTAAGAAAGGTAAATCCCCATGTACTAATATCTTCTTTCAAATGCTTAAATATTTGTGGGTATACTCCAATATACTCCATATATCTACCAACAGAACACTGTTGTTCCAAGGTTGTGTATATATCACTACTTACTTCTATTCCCTTTAGCCCATTCATACCTTGCTGTGCCTGTCTTCATCATTCTTCTGCCAACCTCCCTCTTCTTGAATATTGTCCTCTGACTTCTTGTGTATTGCCTTTCCTGTCCCCAGAGTTAACATGTGTCTACCATCTAGCCAGTGAATTAATCTCCCTTCATTTGCACCCTGGTAACCATTAAAGAATGTTTCTTTACACATGGAAACCTTTTCTTGGCTTTTTACAATAGTTGTTTCATACAATATTTGTCCTTTTGTGATTGACTTAGCTTATTCAGCATAATGTCCTCCAGTTTCATA